GACTCGCTTGAGCCCAGGAGTTGGAGGTTGCTGTGAGTTGAGATGCCACGGCACTCTACCCAGGGGGACAGCTTGAGGCTCGTCTCTCAAAAAATAAATAAATAAATAAATAAAATAAAATACACTGGGACAACCTGGGCACAGTTGCTGATATCTATAATCCTAGCATTATGGGAGGCAAAAATGGGTGGATTACTTGAGCTCAGGAGTTCGAGGCCAGCCTGAGCAAGAGACCCTGTCTCTACTAAAAGATCCTGTGGGCCCAGCTACTTGGGAGGTAGAAGCAAGAGAACTCTTGAGCCCAAGAGCTAAAATGCCACAGCACTTTACCCAGGGTAACAGAGTAAGACTCTGTCTTTAAAAATAAATAAATAAATAAATAAATAAAACAACCCTGGGAAAACAGAAAAAACAGGCTTGAAGGGAAGCTTCTACCTGCTGATCAATCTTTGTGCTCATATAGTCTATCTAAACCTATGAAGAAAACCTTGAACAGGGGCTTTTAATCTATTTTATTTTAACTTTTTAATTTTTTTTAGAGATGGTGTCTCACTCTTGCTCAGGCTGGTCTCAAACTCCTGAGCTTAATTAAGCAATCCTGAGCTCAAGTGATCCACCTGCCTTAGCCTCCCAGAGTGCTATGATTACAGGAGTGAGCCACAGGTGTCTGGCCTAGAGGTTTTTAATCCAGAGGCAAGGTCCCTAGAGCATCAAGGGATGGACTACGAAAGTCTATGAACTGGCTCAGCACCTGCGGCTCAAGCAGCTAAGGTGCCAGGCACATACACCTGAGTTGGCGGGTTCGAATCTAGCCCAGGCCTGCCAAACAACAATGATGCCTGCAAGCAAAAAATAGCCGGGCATTGTGGTGGGTGCCTGTAGTTTCAGCTACTTGGGAGGTGGAGGCAAGAGAATCGTTTAAGCCGAGGAGTTGGAGGTTGCTGTGAGCTGTCACAGTGATGTCACAACACTCTACCCAGGGCAACAGATTGAGGCTCTGTCTCAAAAAAAAAAAAAGGTCTATGAACCATCTACCTAAAATTATATTCAAAACAATGATTGCCAATTTGTACTTTTCCTGGAAACAAGATCTATAGCCTTTATCAGATTCTCAAAGAATGTGAAGACCCAGAGCTATGAAGACATCTTGGTAGCATCACGGTATCAGATCAGAGTTCCACTTACATTGTTACTAAACTGCAGGTAGCCAGACTCGGTGAATGATGTATGTCCCTAAATGTTCATATGCTGACCAGCAGATTCCTTCCCTTACAAACCTTAGAGTTTAATGGAGCACCCTGGAGTACAGGTTTTTAACTGGTGTCAGTAAACTCCCTAAAACTGTATGTAATACATTCTCTATTTAAGGAAATTGAGGGAGCTGAGGAGGTCCAGACCCTTCATCACGAACTCATCTTTTTTTTTTTCATAAGAAAATTCAAAAGAGGACTTCATCTAAGTCTATAACACATACAAAGTATGTGTTAATCCATTCTAAATGCAAATTTTCCTGGATCTAGAACCCCTATTGTGGTATGATCTGAAAAGCCTCAGAATTCTACAGCATAAATATAAATGAGAAAAATTCCACGTCAGCTCCTTGCAGGGGTTCAGGTCAGACCATTACTCAAAACCTCATCCCTCCTTGCCAATGCTTAAATGCTTAGTTGACATGAGCTAGTCCATTCTAGACTGTACTGAAATCCCAGAACTGCTCAGAAGTCTAAGAAGAGTGAGCTACAAAAGTAGCTAGATTTCTAACCAGCTTGGGGTTACCAGGGATCCAAAGACCAAGGGAGTCCATAAATGTATGTGAGAAGTCCGTAAATTTCTGGAAATTGGTATGCAAATACTGAATCTATATCCTTTTGAGGACAGCTTTTATCAGATGCATGAGCTTAATCCTGTTATCTTCCAAAAAAGAGGTTGAGAACCCCAGACTTAGGGAATAAATTACTCCCACTGGACTCAAGGTCCCACAAACAGGGCTTACGTCCTAGGAAAGCTCTGGCCAGGCAGTAAGTCTCCCTAAAGATGGGTCACTGACCTTTGTACGGGGTACAATGTTGAGTTCCAGTTTTTGGTCCACCAGGCTGGCCCCTGCCTCTGAGAGATAACCCTGATTGAGAACAAGGCAGTCACGACCAAAGCAACAGGGACAACACAGCTTCTGCAGCCACTTGGTCCACTTAGGATTAAGCTGTCCATATGGCTCTTCATTCTTGGGTTTGAAGACAGCAATGATCTTCTATACAGACAAAAGAAAAAGGGGATGTTACATATGAGTTAACTAAAGTAGCCACAGACCAAGTCAGCAGGAATCTAGAAGGAAATGATAGGGATATGCAGACAATCCCTACTTATAGACACAGGCTTTTCTCCAGTTTGGAAGGGGAAGATACCAGTTCATGTGTGCAGCTACAAGACCCACTGCTAGAAAGGGTTGTGACCAAAGATGACAATAAGCCTCCTTACTCTTCCTTGCTGCTTCTCACCCCTCTTCTCCACCTCTCCTCCCTCTAACTCTGTGCTTCAAACAAGGCAAATGGATTTCTAAATTTTTAGGAGCAAGATACAGAAGCTAACTCAGTGGTAGATCTTTTTTCTTTCTTTCTTTTTTTTTTTTTTTTTGAGACAAAGTCTTACTCTATCACCCTGGGGAGAATACCATAGCGTCACTTGGGCTCAAGCAATCCCCCTGCCTCAGCCTCCTAAGTAGCTAATACTATAGGCACTCATCATGATACCAGATACTCTTTTTTTAGTAGAGACAGGGTGTTGCTCTTGCTCAGGCTGATCTCAAACTCCTGAGCTCAAGCAATCCACCTGCCTCCGCCTCCCAGAGTGCAAGAATTACAGGTGTGAGCCCCACACCCATTCTCAGTGGCCAATCTTGAGTCACTGGCAGAAAACTTGTGCCAATACAGTGCTACTTCCTGCCCTTCCAGAAAAGATACTACATCATACTGCACATGTCAAGAGTTCTAGGCTTGGTGCCTGTGGCTCAAGCAGCTAAGGCGCTAGCCACATACACCTGAGCTGGCAGGTTCAAATCCAGCCCAGGCCTGCCAAACAACAATGACGGCTGCAACCAAAAAATAGCTGGGCGTTGTGGCGAGTGGCTGTAGTCCCAGCTACTTGGGAGGCGGAGGCAGGAGAATTGCTTGAGCCCAGGAGTTAGAGGTTGCTGTGAGCTGTGATGTCACAGCACTTTACCCAGGGCGACAGTTTGAGGCTCTGTCTCAAAAAAAAAAAAATGCAATCAGTGTAAACTAATTCTTTGTACCCTCGATGAATCCCAAAAAAAAGGAAAAACAAATATGTAAGTGCAAAAAGAAAAAAAAATCAACAACAAGGCTCGGCACCTATAGCTCAAACGGCTAAGGAGCTAGCCACATACACTATAGCTGGCAGGTTTAAATCCAGCCCAGGCCTGCCAAACAACAATGACAACTACAACCAAAACATAGCCAGGTGTTCTGGTGGTCGACTATAATCCCAGCTACTTGGGAGTCTAAGTCAAGAGAATCGCTTAAGCCCAGGAGTTGGAGGTTACTGTGAGCTGTGATGCCACAGCACTCTACCCAGGGTGACAGTGTGAGGCTCTGCCTCAAAAAAAACCCCACAGGGTGGAAAAGGAGTAGGGTGCCAGCCCCATATGCTGGAAGTGGAGGATTCAAACCCAGCCCCAGCCAAAAACTGCAAAAAAAAAAAAAAACAACCACAAAGATTAAATCCAATCTTCTTTAGTGGCCAGTAATTTAATCTCAAACATCCTTGTAAATGCAGGATTCCTAGAAACCATGGCCCTCCCTCCTGAATGTTTTCTTCCATAGGCCACTCAGCCCTCTGAGGTTACTTTACATTTTACTCATCCCCTCTAGTCCCCCGACTGGTAATTCAAAGGACAAAAAGAAAATATGTTATCCAAGTGACTCATCTTCATATCATATGACTCTCCTTCTCCCCTCACCCCACAGCCAACTCAAGCTACTCTGGGTCATAAGACATTTTCCTGTGGGTGTCATTTCCTGAACAGCAGGTCACAACAGACAATATACACTCATCTGCCTCTATTAAGTAAGCCCTCATATTGGGAACTGGTCAGGTCCACGTCTCTAATAATAATTGGTCAATCTTGAGGCCAATTCCTTCAAGAAAGTCTAGCAAGGATTTCAGAGGGCAAGAGAAAAATACAGAACTCTCCACCTCCTCCAAAAAGTATCAATTTATTCTTACAGACAAACTTACTTATTGACTGGCAAAAGCAAAATGCATATATTCATATTATAAATCTTCAGAATTACTAAGAGGCCTAAGTTAGCAGTCATCTTCTCTGCCTGTGCTCCCCTGGAATCCCAGCCTCTGAATAACAAAGCAGTGGTAACAATAGGCTCACAACTCAGAATGACAGGTGAGTCCACTGGAACCTGGACAATGAAACCAAAGGGCAACTTGAAGCATATCCCAGAACTCAACAATCAGTTCAACTGAGGCACAAAGTGGAGTGCAACAATCTAGTTCAACAATTGCACCAGGCATGGTGGCTCATGCCTGTAATCCCAGTACTTTGTAAGGCTGAGGCAGAAGATTACTTGATATCAGGAGTTAAAGACCAGCCTGGGCAACATAGTGAGACCCCCTCCTCTACAAAAAAAATAAAAATAAAATTAGCCAGGCATGGTGGCACATTCCTTAGCTACTCAGAAGGCTAGGGTAGGAGGGTTGTTTGAGCCCAGGAGTTTGAGGTTGCACTGAGTTATGATCATGCTACTACACTCCAGCTCTGATGACAGAGCAAGACTCTGTCTCAAAAAGAAAAAGAAAAAGAAAACAAAACCAAGCTAGTCTCAAGTGAAAGAGAGACTAAGACGTTCCTCCTATTAGGAGGGGCTGAAAAGTATCAGAGCTGAGGCCAAGTGGTAAATACTCCCACTTAAAGAAAGCAGAACTTAAAGGCCAAGATTGCAGCCAAGAGTCATTTACAGACTGACCACTCAAACTTCTCAATTTCCTCCTACCATAAGGAGAACCAGAAAGCATTTAATTAACTCTAAAAGCATTAGTAATGATGGTTATGTCTGTAGTACCGGAGCTTCACCAAAGAATACTGTCTGTGTTCCAATTGCATAGTGGTTAGAAAAAAATAGTAAAAAATAAATACTGTCTGGAGTAGATAAATAATGGAATGGCAAGATAAGAAGAATGGAGGAACAGAAGGCATTCAGAGAGAAGGAGACAAGTGCCTTTCAGGAATAAGTATAGGCCTCAGTTCAACTGAATTCCGTTAACATTTGCTCAGGGCCTAGTTTGTGCAAGCATTCTGTGAGTTTCCTAGAGCTCTAGATACAGACATAAAACAGACCCCGGTCATTTCCAAAAACAATATTCATTTCTTATAATCAACTACGTTACTAATAATCAAGAATATACTCCTCATTCAAGACTTAGAGGGAGGGTCACATCTGTAATCCTAGTACCCTGGGAGCTGAGGTATGAACATCTCTTCGGCCCAGGAGCTTCACACAGCCTGACCAAGAACAAGACTCCATCTCTACTAAAAATGAAACATTAGCTGGGCATTGTGGTGGGCTCCTGTAGTCCCAGGCACTTGGGAGGCTGAGGCAGGAGGACTGCTTGAGCCCAGGAATTTAAGGTTGCTGTGAGCTAGGTTGGCACCGCAGCACTCTGGCCTGGGCCATGTCACTCTAGCCTCAAAAAATAAAAAATACTCTCCTCATTCAAAAAGAACAATCTCTAAAACCATTTAAATTAGAAAAATACTCACCAGTATTTAGCTGAGAAAGTAAATGACTACTGTCTAATTTTTCTCACCATTCTCTATCTTTAACAGACTTTCAATTCCTTTATTATATCTAGGAGAAAGCTTCAGTTTAATGCCAATACATTAAAAATATCTTTACTTAACACCTACTTACTAACCTTCCCCCCTTTTAGTAAAGAGTGATGTCAGGGCTGGGCACTGTGGCTTACGTCAGTAATCCTAGCACTCTGAGAGGCCAAGGCAGATTGATAGCCTGAGCTCAGGAGTTTGAGATCAGCCTGAGCAAGGGAGAAAGATCCCATCTCTACTAAAAATAGAAAAAACTAGCCCAGCCCTGAGACAACCTGTAGTCCCTGCTACTGGGGAGGCTGAGGCAAGAGGATCACTTGAGCCCAGGAGTTTAAAGTTGCTTTGAGCTATGACAACACAGCATTCCTACCCAGGGCATTAGAGTGACTCTATCTCAAAATACATATATACATACATATACACACATATATATAAAACAAAGATGCCAAGAGAGGTGGCTCACACCTATAATCCTAGCACTCTGGGAGGCTGAGGCAGGTGGATCATCTGAGTTTGAGACCAGCCTGAGCCAGAGCAAGACCTTGTCTCCAAAAATACAGGCGTTATGGCAGGTACCTGTAGTCCCAGCTACTCAGGAGACTGAGGCAACAGAATTGCTTAAACCCCAAAGTATGAGGTTGCTCTGAGCTATGACACTGCGGCACTCTACTGAGGGTAACACAGTGAGACTCTGTCTCATGAGGTTGCTCTGAGCTATGACACTGCGGCACTCTACTGAGGGTAACACAGTGAGACTCTGTCTCAAAAAAAAAAAAGAAAGAAAGAAAAAACAAAGGGTAGTGGAGGGGTTAGGTACAGAAAGCTTAAGTAGCAGCAATCTGTAAAGTTGGGTATAAACCCAGAACCTCACAAGGAAGCAAAGGGCCACTCACTGGCTGGTGTCAGGGACCCCCGACCAATTACTACAACCTGGAACCCAGAGGGTTTCCTATATTCATCCAGCAATAACAAGAAGATACTACACTATGCTAAAAGAGGCCCTTTCCTCCAGGAACCTAAAATAAATTCATTTATAATGTGCATTTATTTATTTATTAGAGACAGGGCCTTGCTACATTGCCCAGGTTGGTCTTGAACTCAAGATCTTAAGCAATCCTCATACCTTGGCCTTTCAAAGTGCTGTGGTTCCAGGCATAAGCCACCACACCTAGCCCCTAAAATTTGAAAGAGTTCAAGCAATCATTCATATTACACAGCAAAATATATAGAACTACTTTTTCTTTTTTGAGACAAAGTGTCGCTCTGTCACCCAGGCTAGAGTGCCATGGCCTTAGCTTCACTCACAGCAACCTCAAACTCCTGGACTTAAGCAATCCTCCTGCCTCAGCCTCCCAAGTAGCTGAGACAACAAGGCATGCTCTACCAACCCAGCT